GTCTCATCAGCCAAGCGTTTCCTTAGGAAATATGATTTTCAGATAGAAAGACCATTCCAACCTTTTATACCTCTTCTTTTTGAAATATTCTTCAAGAATAAAAAGGATCTAAAGACTTCTAAAACAGGATGATTACATCAGCTTCAACGCCTACTGGGGTGAGGAAATGGAATGAGGAGTTTGATTTTGATATTGATAGATGGCAGAAAATACTTAAAATTCCATTTACAGTCACAAAAAAATCAAAATTGCAGTGGCTTCAAGTTAGAATTATACACCATATTCTAGTAACAAACACTTTTCTTTTCAAAACAAATTTAAATCCTAGTCCATTATGTGATCTGTGTAATATGGAAAGAGAAACTATAGTTCATTGTTTATGGGAATGTCAAGAAGTGCAGGGACTACTGCAGAGACTTGAAACTCTTTGTGACATTCTTCTTATCCCTGTTTTAATAAACAAAGAATCGTTACTTTTTGGAATATTATCACCACCGCTCCTTACCCGAGTAGGTGGGCATCTTGTGTCGCTGAGGACTTCAACTCCTTCGGCGATGCCTCTGCTCGTCATCGGAGGAGTCCTCAGAATATGTATCGCTGTCCCCTTCCTCCTCCTCACTCGAGAAGTCGGGATCAGATTTGTCGCTCTTCGACGAATCATCACGTCTACGCCTTGCAGAAGCACGGCGCGTTCCCTGTGATTGGCGCATATGTCATTCAACGGGGGAGCGATGCGTGCACCGTGCAGGACGTTCGTTGTACGACCCGTCGCGAGTCCGTCTACTCCTTCCTTCATCGCGGGTAGTACGCGCCGTTGTAGCAACGCCACGATTTACTGCGCTTGATAAGGGCTCTTTTGCGCGAGCACCGGCAACGGCCGAAGTAGTCCGAATTATTCTGACATTTTATCGACTTTTTTATATTGATCTGTCGTCGATTGACGTTAGAACTCCGGCCCTCTATAATATGCGGGAAATAAGCGACCCGCGCTTGGGTCGCTCTTCAAACTGATATTTTAGAAACAAATCGTCACTTTCACACACATGTCGCACATGCCGAAGGCAGACCATGAGCAGGAGTAGTATGGTGTTCTCATTTAACCGAATTTAATTTTATCCTATTTAATTTTGCCTAATTTTGAGTATCTATGTACCCCAATAGGGGATAATTATTTATTCCGCCATTGGTGTATGGCAGCTTATGGCCTGGGGGTAACTTACTCTCCCTATGTTGGAAAGGTGGCTGCGAAGGGTCATATCCCGAGCACAATTCCCCCCTCCCTGCTTATGAAGAGTCAAACTAGGCTTGACATCTTCCAACAGGAAGTCAGCCTCCTTTTCATTAGCCGATGAGAGGTATGACAAGGGCAGACTCATTTCCTCCTCAACTTGTGGAGCAGATTCTAGCTTAAACCCTCACTTAGAAGCAATGTGTGCAATGGGTGCACTGGTACCTCCAGTAGTCCATGTTGACACATGCGACCCCTGACCTTGACACCTTACATACCTCCCATCCTTTGGGACAGATTGTAGGATAGGATAAAAACAGGACTCTTTCTGTTTAGGAGGCATTGCCAGAGGGTCAGAGTATGATATATCCTAAGGTAGCAAGGAGGTAGATTGATAAGTACCTCTATCCCCCCCTGAGTGACCAGCTATTTGTTTGTGGCCCCTGGCTGACATAGTCAGTAGCAGAGTGGCAGGTTTAGAGGTCTTCTTTGGAGGCGAGGCAGCAGAAGCCGCCATGCTCTCTGATTTTTTTATGAGCCTCTGTCTCCAATGTTACCTCTAACCTGGACCTGCAGCTCCTTAAATTGATGCTGCATGTCCATCACTGCGTCCTCTTGTCTATTGAGCCTATCTGCCTGTGATGAGGCCGGCAGGGATGGTGACTGCACCTCTACAGGAGCAGTGACCCTTTATCCCGTGATGACCCAATCACATAGCCAATTCTGCCACTTTGCAATGCCTACCCTGGAGTTTGACACAAGTTTTTGTAGGGTGAGGTCGCCCTCATCTCTTATCTCAATGTTTTTCTGCGCCGTTGCAGGGCCTAAACCCTCCAACGTGCATAGCTCATCTTCTGTAGCTGAGCGTAAATTTATCGCAGCCATGACAAAATATGAACAATTTTCTATGTTCTAATAAAGAAACAAGTCAACACACTTAATTAAACAATTACAAAATTATGCACAAGGACAGTATACCAACGTTGCTACTAGTAGACACGTGTATCTGTCCCGTACAAAATTCAAACGACTACAAATATATAACAATTAACAGTTTACAAAATAATTTCTAATTCCTAAAATACCTAATTCCTAACCTAATCTAATTTAAACCTAACTAAACATATAATAATTTCCCTACAATATAAAACTAATATTCCTATACTAACGATAACTCAAGTCTCGCCTGTCATATATATGTATTCCGCCAATATGGGCATCCTACTATACAGGCGAATTGAGTTCCGTGAAAAACTATCAAGTAAACTAAATTAAATTAAATATAAATATCAGAACGGCAGCGAACACCGCCGACTCTGAATTACCCCTAATAAATAATTAAATAAACATCAATAAACTAATAGAGCTGTCCCAAATTATCTTAATTCGCGCACTGGTCACGTAGGCCAGCGCAGGAGGCGAGCGAGACACGCAAGGTTAAAAAAGATATGTAAAAAACAAAAGACAAAATTCGTCAAAACAGCGCGAGTTTGATCGCACTACGACACCAATTGTCGTGAATTCGGTGTGTGCTTTTGCACACCGTCACAGCATGTAGTTGAGAACTGCTCTTAGCTCCCGAAATCTATGAGAATAGGCGGAGGAAAATCACTCACGTGTGTTCAAGTTGAAGTCAAGATGTAAAGAGACCGTGCCGAGATGTCACATCGAGGTTGTCGGCGCGGTTATCGGTCTAAGAGAGATAACTCTCCCCAAAATGCACCACAGTTATTTGTTTACAATGTATATACCGTAAGTAGGTTTCGTTTTTATTGACCAAAATCTGATAAGCAAGAACACTTGGAAATTACCTCACAAACATGAAAGTAAAGAGACTAAAACATATCATAAATCATTTTTCTTTTTTTTCCATAGGAGAATAGAGAGCAGTTTAAAAGCTAGCTGATATTCAATTAAATTCGTCAATGAAATTAAGATTTCTTTTCTTACAGTGATTGTACCTGAGACGACTTACTCCGTACTAGCAGGAACGTCTGTGACTCTACAATGCTCGATTTCGCCGACAATAATTCAAACAACTGTATACTGGACCAAAGCGGGACGGTCACGACAGGTGTACAGCTCTGACAGTCCACGAAACAGAAAGTATTACATACCTCGTTATACAGACCAATCACTGACCATAAGTGATACAGTGATAGAAGACACTGGTAGCTACACATGTCAAGTGCTATTATCAAGGGGGGGCTACTCTAGTTCCCCAATCAACGTGACTAGTTCCCCAGTCAACCTGACGGTCTGTAAGTAAACTCATTGTTATTGTAAACACCATTTTTAATCCAGACATAGACATGCTCCAAAATACCTATGCAGATACGGTTTACACAATATATAGTTCTAATTAATATGTATAGCACATGCGTACGCGCACTTACCCACTATCATTATATAAAATCAATTGATATTTTCAACTTCTCATAATGGAATATCAATGACTTTGATGATTTTTTAAACACCAATAGTTTTGTTCTCAAATTTTTCATGTAATTAATAAGTGTTTATGCTTAACAGCAGGTACAAACTATATATCGTTTCTAAATGAATAAAACACTTGCAATTTGGTTTTAAATTATTTAAGAGGAAGTTGTCGAACTGCTGCATTTTAACATTGTCCTTTGATACTCAATACAGCACTGGTTCATAGAGATACCTTTGTGACTGTATAGCACTAGGAGCTATCCGCCTTGCTTGTTAATGAAGCACAAAGTAGCGGAAATCCCACAGGGGTATGGATCGCTTTACTTGTAATGTTAACAAAGGGGTCTCCTATACTAATAAATACAAAGGGATATAACGACAGACTGAAAGCTGTTACCCCTTTTCTCTTTCAGCTCGTGTCATTCACAAATCTTTGTTCATATTGGATATACCTCGGTTGAATATTGAAGACAAATGATTTATTTACAAAATGAAACCATAATTACGACTGTCTGACACATAGTTATCCACTGACACCGCTTTAAAGTCGCAATTACACCGTTAAATTGTGACCGAACCAAATTCTATACTCACGAGAAATAACCAAGTTTCACGGATAAACTCGAGAATTATATCCAAGGAATGGTTTAAATCCTTATTTAATATCCGCAATCCAATACATGTGCTGCCCGCTTCTCTGAAATAATACGTCGATCAGTTTCTACACATGACAAGCGTGATATCGGGATTTCCCCCTCGCACACCTGCATTAACCTAGCAGTCGACAACTAGGCGCAATTTTTTTTCGAATGATTTTACGCTCCACACAGAATGATGTCCCGCCCTATCATTGGCTACCTGTGTGTATGCGAAAGGGAAGCTACTCTAAAAAAGTTACCTCATTTGTTTTCCGCCACTGATAGAGCGGGACATCATTCTATGCGGAGCGTAAAATAATTCGAAAAAAATGGATTATATTTAATGGAAAATAAGGATTTAAACCATTCCTTGGATATATTTCTCGAGTTTATCCGTGAAACTTGGTCATTTCTCGTGAGTATAGAATTTGGTTCGGTCACAATTTAACGGTGTAATTGCGACTTTAAAGCGGTGTCAGTGGATAACTATGTGTCAGACAGTCGTAATTATGGTTTCATTTTGTAAATAAATCATTTGTCTTCAATATTCAACCGAGGTATATCCAATATGAACAAAGATTTGTGATTGACAGGAGCTGAAAGAGAAAAGGGGGTAACATATTTCAGTCTGTCGTTATATCCCTTTGTATTTATTAGTATAGGAGACCCCTTTTTAATATCACAAGTAAAGCGATCCATGCCCCTATGGGAAATCCATCGTAGGTCGTCTGATATTGTCGGTGGGGTAGTCGTATATTGACACGTTGTTTGATATTAGCGTTTGCCTTTTACCTTATCACATTGTAATAATAATAATTCGAGGTTTTAATATACCGCTTTAGCACAACCTACTTCGTAGATCGTCTCAAAGTGGTTCACAAATTATTATCCGTGGTTATAGGGTCTTTGCAACCAGCTGATATCTTTCTCAACTCCATGGGGAGCATACAGCCGGAGCTGCCATTTCGGCGCTAACAGCTAGCATTCAACAATTCTAGCCCTGCCCAACCACGTACTCATTTACAGCTGAGTAGACTGGAACAAGCGGAGTAAAGTATCTTGCTCAAAGATACAACACAGTGCCGTGCCGTAACTCGAGCCCGCAACCCTTCGATCACGAGCCCGGCGTCCTGCCACTAGACTATTGTGACCTTATCTATCATGAAGTGGGAAACGTTTCATTGTTATTTAGCGCCGAAACACTTTAGTTCCCAAGGCAAAGCTGAGAGAAGTTGTGTTACGGTGAACAATGCGTATGATATTTCTGATATAATACAATAATGTGATAACATCCCGATATAGATAGTATCACTGCAGCCGTTTGCCGGCTCCTGTCTTACATACGAAAATAATGTCTTATTATGAGAACTTTATTTAGAAATTCAGTTTAAAGTATATAAAAATAGTGAAAAAAGGGAAAAGAAATGATAAATGTAGCTATCGCTTTTTGTTAAGCTGTCAACACTAAATGTTTTTGCCGTATTGTGATGAAAATCGGCTTAGCAATTTTGTTATAAGATTAAACAAATTTAAACTAAACTTCCGTAAGCTGACATCTCTGAAGCGCAGTTATATTTGAATGTAACTGAGAAACTGACATTAAATCACTTGTATTTGCAAAAAGCAACGGCCTTATCCATGCATAGGGATATCAACATTTGCTGCTTTTTTAATCAACCAAACTAACACGATATTTACAAATATTTATATTTGAAATATTTTTATTTCATGGAAACGTCAGATATAGTCATTGTCCAAGTCGTGTACATGGGTCCTTTATTAGCTACAACCGTCCCGCGGTGCCCCTGTTTCGTTCAGATTTTATTTTGCCTGGATGCCCTTCCCTTACTCCGGCGCGTTGTCTACAGTCGCTTGATAAAAAGAAAACCGTATTAGAATAACGAAAGTCCCCAGCATCACGATGTTTTAATATGGCATATTTCTTAGCAAGAAAGGGGTTCATCGTCAGTTCGGAGCTTTTAAAATCCGTGGAGTGGCCACATTTGAAGTATGATGGCTATCAAGGTCCACGCAGTGTTGGCTGTAAAACACCACCAAACAATGTAGTAAGACATTCATGGTTTTAAAAAAGGAATCCTTACCAGTAGATCAGAACTCTTACAAACTAAACAATTACTTAATGTTAGATGTATACAAATGTAAATTTACAAAAAAATTTATTTTTTGTTTTGTAGACAAGCAATTCACGGCCTCTATCCGTCCCCACAGTACCGACATTACTGTACCGGAAGGAAATCACGTTACAGCGAGAACATGCGAGTCTGACGACTGCCCACCTGGTTGTGTAACACAGTGGATATTACCAAATGATGACCGGAGGACCTCGGATATCTTCACACGGCCTGTCACTAGGGAACAAGCTGGAAAATACACGTGTACAGCTAGTATTGGTGATATTAGCAAATCAGAGTCATTCTCCGTTACTGTTGACTGTAAGTAATGCTAGTGACAGTAATATACTAACAATGTTCAGATCTGAGTCATTCTCCGTTACTGTTAACTGTAAATGATGCTAGTGACAGTAATATACTAACAATGTTCAGATCCGAGTCATTCTCCGTTACTGTTAACTGTAAGTGATGCTAGTGACAGTGATATACTAACAATGTTCAGAGTAGAAACAGTCTACCTACTTTGTTTCTTCATCAGGCTTTGATGGCTAGATTTGATCTTTTTGCAGGAATGACGCCTGGAATATGCGATTATGAGATCCATTTCCTTACTCTGCAATTTTTTAATGCGCTTTGGAAATCTTTTGATTTGGATTTCCATTGTTTTGATCTTAGTAATATTGATAAGTCCTAAATATTTACTTTAAAAATATCTAAACTGGTTTTCCGTATCAGGTTAACTTATTATATTGCGTATTTCTAGTGATTGTTTTTACGGTGGTTGACTGCTGGTATACTATCGGTCCCCGTAGTTGGCACTACTCTACTGGTGGACTATCTGTCCCCGTAGTTGGCACTACTCTATTGGTGGACCATCGGTCCCCGTAGTTGGCACTACTCTTCTGGTGTATTATCGGTCCCCGTAGTTGGTACTACTCTGTCGGTGGACTATCGGTCCCCGTAGTTGGCCCTACTCTACTGGTGGACTATTGGTCCCCGTAGTTGGCACTACTCTACTGGTGTACTATCGGTCCCCGTAGTTGGTACTACTCTTCTTCCCGTAGTTGGCACTACTCTATTGGTGGACCATCGGTCCCCGTAGTTGGCACTACTCTGCTGGTAGACTATCGGTCCCCGTAGTTGGCACTACACTGCTGGTGGACTATCGGTCCCCGTAGTTGACTCTACTCTGCTGGTGGACTATCGGTTCCCGTAGTTGGCGCTACTCTACTGGTGGACTATCGGTCCCGGGAGTTGGCACTACTCTGCTGGTGGACTATCGGTTCCCGTAGTTGGCGCTACTCTACTGGTGGACTATCGGTTCCCGTAGTTGGCGCTACTCTACTGGTGGACTATCGGTTCCCGTAGTTGGCGCTACTCTACTGGTGGACTATCGGTCCCCGCAGTTGGCACTACTCTACTGGGGGAATATCGGACCCCATAGTTGGCACTACTCTGCTGGTGGACTGGCACTACTCTATTGGTGGACTATCGGTCCCCGTAGTTCGCACTACTCTGCTGGTGGACTATCGGTCACCGTAGTTGGCACTACGGTGGTTGACTGCTGGTATACTATCGGTCCCCGTAGTTGGCAATACTCTACTGGTGGACTATCGGTACCCGTAGTTGGCACTACTCTGCTGGTGGTCTATCGGTCCCCGTAGTTGGCACTACTCCACTGGTGGACTATCGGTCCCCGTAGTTGACACTTCTCTGCTGGTGGACTATCGGTTCCCGTAGTTGGCACTACTCTATTGGTGGACTATCGGTCCCCGTAGTTCGCACTACTCTGCTGGTGGACTATCGGTTCCCGTAGTTGGCGCTACTCTACTGGTGGACTATCGGTCCCCTTAGTTGGCACTACTCTGCTGGTGGACTGGCACTACTCTATTGGTGGACTATCGGTCCCCTTAGTTGACACTACTCTGCTGGTGGACTATCGGTTCCCGTAGTTGGCGCTACTCTACTGGTGGACTATCGGTTCCCGTAGTTGGCGCTACTCTACTGGTGGACTATCGGTCCCGGGAGTTGGCACTACTCTGCTGGTGGACTATCGGTTCCCGTAGTTGGCACTACTCTATTGGTGGACTATCGGTCCCCGTAGTTGACACTACTCTGCTGGTGGACTATCGGTTCCCGTAGTTGGCACTACTCTACTGGTGGACTATCGGTCCCCGTAGTTGGCACTACTCTTCTGGTGTACTATCGGT